GCAACAGTGGAGCAGAAAAGGAGAGGGCGGCTTTCAGAGATTTGGTGTATAGCACTGCATTTACTTATCTGGGTCAGAACACTTGCAAACATCAAGACTGGCTTGATGAAAATGATGGGGAAATTCAGAAGCTAATAAATGAAAAACAAGAACTCCACAGGGTTTACCAGCAGAATAGTTCATCCATCTCTAAGAAGGCAGCATTTAATTCCATCAAAAATAAAGTAAAATTAAAGCTCAGAGAGATGCAGGATTCTTAGCTCAGTAAGAAGGCAGATGAAATTCAGTTTTATGCTGATAGTAACAATCCAAAGTGCTTTTATGATGTCCTGAAGTCTATTTATAGACCAAAGACCTATGGTGCATCTCAACTACTCAGTGCTGATAGAGCCACATTGAGTAGTGAGATAAGGACATGATTCTAGAGAGATGGGCTGAACGCTTCCATAATGTTCTCAACAGACCATGATCAATCAATGCTGAAGCCATTGACTGTTTACCTCAAGTTGAAGTCAATCCCTCCCTAGCTGAAGTTCCAACTGAAGAGATTTTGAATGCCATTAGGCTCCTTTCATGTGGCAAAGCACCTGGTGCTGATTCTATTCCAGCTGAGAGTCACAAGGCAGTGGGTCCACCGCTCATACAAAAGCTAACTGAAATTTTCCAGGTTATATGGCAAGAGGACATTATTCCCCAGGAGTTCAAGGATGCCTCTATTGTCCATCTCTATCACAGCGGGGTCTCTCTCTTAGTCATTGCTGGCAAGATTCTTACCAGGATCCTACTTAATAGGTTGATGCTTCACCTGGAAGATGGTCATCTACCTGAGAGCCAGCATGGCTTCAGAAAGGGCCGAGGAATAGCTGATATGGTGTTTGCTGCCCAATAACTCCAGGAGAAATGCCAGGAGCAGAACAGAGGTCTGTATACAACGTTTGTAGATCTAAGCAAGGTCTTTGATACTGTCAGTTGTGCGCATTTATGAAAAATTATGTCAAAATTTGGTTGCCTGGAAAAGTTGATCAGCATTGTACGTCAATTTCATGATGGTATGTTTGCCCAGGTTCTGGATAATGGACAATGCTCTCATGCTTTCCCAGTTACCAATGGAGTGAAACAACACTGTGTGGTTGCTCCCATGCTTTTTATCATGATGTTTTTAGACATGTTGTCAAATGCTTTCAATGAGAATGAACATGGCATCAAGGTCAGGTACCACACTGATGGTGAATTCTTCAATTTCAAAAGACTACAAGCCAAGACCAAAGTGGAGGGAGTATTGGTGCATGATTTTCTGTTTGCAGATGATTGGACACTCAATGCAGCCTCTGAAGCTGAGATGCAACAAAGTAAGGATCGATTCTCTGCTATTCTGCTAATTTTGGCCTAACGATAAACACCAAGAAAATAGCCACTACCACAACATTCACACATGGAATCATCAGTTACAGCAAATGGAGAAGTTTTGAATGCTGTGGAAAAGTTCATTACCATGGTAGTGTACTTTCCATGGATGTACACATTAATAACGAGGTTAATGCATGCATTGCCAGAGCTAGCTCAGTGTTTGGGAGGCTCCAAAGTATGGGAGAGAAGAAGTATTAGACTGACTACTAAACTGAAGGTCTACAGAGCCATTGTGCTGACCTCATTGTTTTATGCCTGTGAAACCTGGACCATGTACACCAAAGCCATGCCAGGAAACTGAATCTCCTCCATTTGAATTGCCTTAGGAAGATTCTGAAAAGCACCTGGCAGGATAAGGTACCAGACACTGAGGTCCTTTCTTGAACTAAACTGCCAAGCAATCAAACTCTGCTTCAGAGAGCGTAACTCAGATGGGCTGGCTACGTTGTTTGAATGCAAAACGTACGCCTGCCAAAAAAAACTATTTTATGAAGAATTCACATAGGGCAAGCGTTGACCTGGTGGTCAGAAGAAGTGATAAGAGGGGACTCTCAAGGTCTGTCTTAAGAATTTTGGAATTGTGTGATATGGGAGACACTGGCACAGGACTGCTCGGCATGGTGTGCTCAGATCAGAAAAGGTGCTGTGCTCTAGGAGCAAAGCAGAATTGAAACAACTCAAGAGAAATACAAGATACATAAACTTAGAGAATCCACTCCAAAGGTTCACACGGACTATTTGTGCCCAACCTGTGATAGAACACTTCGAGCTCGTATTGGTCTGATCAGACACAGTCAGACACACTAAAACTTGACTCTAGCATAGTGATGTCATTTTGGTCCTCTCTGAAAATGAAGGACAACAACAATAACAACCCTTCCTCTGACACTACCTCAAATTAATGGAGATAAAGAAGGAAGGGGAGGGAACCTCATAACAAACAAGCATAATCAAACAATTCAAATTGTTGCTGTATACAAAAAGGTATGTCTCTGTGCCTTATATCCATCACCCGTCTGTCAAGAGATGGGTTTCATCAGAGGTCCTCTGAAGACACAGTCATTGCATTGGTCAGACTTAAGTCTTTCAAAGCTGTTTTCCTTAAAATGTTGTTGACTTTGTGCATAAATTATTCCTGGATCTGACCACTTCATTCTACATTAATTCATAGTACCCAAGATTCTCTGAAATCATCTTTTTTGTCATTTCTTATGGCACAATGATATTCTACTACATTTACACACCACAATTTGTTCAGCCATTCCCCAGTTATCTAAGAAGGAATCCAAAGTACTCCCTTTACAATCTAGTTCTTATATTGTCTTTCCTCTTGCCTTTTAATTCCCTCATCAAGATTAGAAAATCTGACTTACTTGTGATAACTATTGTTCTCCTGGTATTATCCTCCCTCTTAACAATCCTACCCCAAGCCTCAATGTTTCTCGGTTGAGTGTGATGTACTTCTATACCAAACTCTGTGTATATGTGTGTGCATGTGTGTTGATGTGTTCAAACTTTGGTTTGTCCATTTCAAATAGAAATTAGGTCCATCTGATGCCCACTTCATCCATATTTGTATATTTTTACATATGACAATTTTGAGAAGTATCAAATTACACCACCTTCCTCTTCCTTTCCACAAATATATTCCTCATTTTATCCTCCCTTCTCTTTCCCCTCCTAAAACCCTCAAAAAACCCCACAATTTACCCCCAGATCATTTATTTTTCCTGTCTTATTTCCTCAATATCTTTTGAAGATATTAATTTTCTGAAGGGATGCTTATTTCCTTGCACCTATTAGAATGTTAGCACTCTTATCATCACACAGCCTCTTCCAAATACTTAAATAAATTTACTTTTCTAAGTTCTCTTGACTCTGTGATTATATTTCATAATTCCTACTAGAATATCAATCTTTTCATCAGAAATGCTAGAAAGTCCTCTATTCTATTAAGGATACATTTTTCCCCTGTGAAATTATGCTCAACTTTGTAGGTAAGGTTATTAAGCTATTCTTGGTTGTAAGACCATATATTTTGCTTTTTGGAATCTTGAAATTCAAGAACTCCTCTCATTTTGTACTAAAGCTGCCAGGCCTTCTGTGATCCTGACTGTAGTTCCTCGATACTTGAATTGTTTCTTTTTAGATTCTTGAAGTATTTTTTTTTCTTTGATGTGGAAATTCTGGATTTTGGATATAATGCTCCTGGGACTTTTCTTTTTGAGGATCTTTTTAGAAGATTGGTGGGTTCTTTTGAACTTAACTTTGCCCTTTATATAATAGATCTGGGGAGTTTTCCATTTATGATTGCTTGGAATATAATGTCCAAGCTCTTTTTTTTTTAATCATGGTTTTCAGGAAGTCTAATGGTTCTTAAATTTATCTCTATGAACTATTTTCTAGGTTAGTTGTTTCTTACATCAGAAATTTTATATTTTCTTCTACTATTCCAATCTTTGGATTTTCTAACATTTCTTACACTCTCATGGCATCAAATGATTTCCTTCAGTCTTTTGTAGTTTCAAGGATTCCATTTCTTAGTTAAGGTTTAGCACTTTCTCTTCTAAGCTACTTAAGAGGTTTTTTTTTTCAGAAAAGCTTTTTTGGGGGTTTTAAAATTTTACTTCCTTTATTTTTTCTAGTATTTATATAGTCCTCCTGGAAAATCAACTTTTTTTCCTTTGAGTCTCTACTTGCAATTGTTATGAAGATAGATTTTCAAAAAATTTTCACACTGGTTGATGTTTTCTTTGATTTATTCACCTCTCTAACATGCATTCCTGAAGTGGGGCTTGATGCCAGGCCAGACTCTGCTTCCTGCTTCACTTTTAAGTGGGGTGGTTGGCTCTGCTTGTTTTCAACCTGAATCTCTAAGATTCTCACCTCCTGGGACTAGATCCTCCTAGATCTTTGAAATTAAACGTATTAGGTATTCAGAGTCCTCTCTGATATTTCAGGACATTGTCAGGCATTTCAAATCTGCTGGGCCTGGACTCTCCAGGAATGAGCACTGAGGTACCACACTAGTCACAAGGGCTCCTCTGGGTTCCCAGATCCCCACCTGGAGCTTTCTTGGGGAAGGAGGAAAAGGGGGATAAGACTGTTCTTGCTGCCTTTGGTACAGGCTTGCAGGCTACATATGTTCTGTCTCTCATTAAGCTAGCCCTCATTCTACTTCTGGAGTTGCTTTCTGCTACCTGTAGTCCTCTGGAGGACGTTTTCTAGGATGAAAGAAGTCACTCACTACAGATTCACATGGGATTTCTTGATTATTACTTGGTAATGTATGAACTTCACCATTTTTGAGCAATAGGTATAGGAAAACAAGAAAGACCCCTCTTTTAGACAGCCATCTTCTCTGAAATTGATTTAAAACATTCTGAAAATAAAACTATACTAAATGATCTAATTATTAACATTACAGCACTAAAAGGTTATGTTTATTCACATGTCAGAGAAAAAAATGGATGTGGGTATAGCAAAGGGTACGGTGGATGGCAAACTGCGTAACAAACAAATTGCTCTATTTAAAGCCAATTCTTTTTCTGAACATCAAATTATCATTATATAAGTATGCCAGAGATACTCACATGTAGAGCAGAGGGATCTGGCAGAAACTCAGCATCTTCTCCAAAGATAAAATCAGGGGGCAATTCTGGATAGTGAGCATTGAAAATAATATCCCCTAAGATAGAAGAAAATTAAATGCATTTTATAATTCTATGTTAAAATCAAAATATCCTTAGTGCTATACAAAAAACTATAACATTTTTTGGTTTTTAATGCAATTTAAGGGAAAACAACTGAAGTAATAATTATTAATTCTTTTTCTAAAAGGACCACGTAATTCATTATGTGGGCATCCTAAAACACGTAAACACTAAAAACTACATGTAAATAAAAGCTTTTACTAATACATAAAAAAATTATAAATAGATTTATAATGTAATACACTGTAAACAGAAATATCATGACATACTGGATAGAGAGTTAGCCTAGAATTTGGAAGACCTAACCTCTGCCTTGCCTCTGATCCATGCTGGCTATGTAACTCTGGGCAAGTCACTTCTCAGTATTCTTTCTAAAACTCCAAGCTGCAGGAAAGTTAAAATATGAATGTAAAGAGAATTTCTTCACTGAGAGTTCCCTTGGTCAATGAAGACACTAAGTCCAAAACAAAACATTATGAGTACAATCAAAAGTAGGTAAATACATGCAATCATACTGGAGTATTCACTGATTATTCTACATAGAACAGCCTCGTGTGCAATTATGGTTAGTTAACAACCACATGACCAAAAATTTTAAGTTCTTAGTATGTCAAAGGCAGAAAACGAGAACCCAAATTTAAGACCAGAACATGTTCCTTGCTTTTAGGGAACATGTAGTCTGATGGGAGAAATGTACAAAAAAACAAAAATGCAACATAAAATTTAAACATAACAGAAAAGATAGAGTTTGGCAGGTCCTGGGAACTCAAATCATCTCTTGGGACCACAGAGATCCCAAGTTTTCCCACAAAGAATACTCAATCAGAAGGCAATGAAAGTGGGTATACTGTGAATGTGTATTTAAAAGACATGAAGTTATCTGAGAAGAAATGGAAGACGGCAAGATTTTCTTCTGTGGGCATGCAGTCCAGCCTTTCCCCATGGTTTTTCTTTTCTTAATAGACTTCCTGTCAAATATTCCACTCAACACTGGGAATGGGAAGAAAGGGTGCCAGCCACAAGGGCATTTTTGGCTTTCAGAGTGAAAATCTCTGGGTATCAAGAAATCCAACTTATTTTTTGGGGGGGAAGGGTGTGAGGACAGGAGACTAATGAACCTCCTGGCATTTCCTTGACTTTATCCAATGTTCCAGTCTAAGAATCAGAACTGGGTCCTGAACACAAGCATTGATACCTTTACATCTATAGTTCCCAAATTGTACCCTGTAGTGCCCACGGACACCATAAAAAACTCATGGGGGCATAGTAGGATATTTTGAATTTTTAACCTAACTACTTAATAAATAGAACTGTTAGATATTTCTTTTGGTATGGGGTGCCATGAAAAATTTACTAAGACACTAAAGGCACCACAAACCAAGAAAGTTTGGGAACTTCTCCCTTAGTCCCTTTCCAACAACTATGACAGCAAGAAGAAGCATTGGGATATAACTGAGCAACACAGCATGCCCACATAAAAGCATTAACACCATTTCCTATACTCCATCTCTTCCACAATCCCACCCAGAAAAGTAGTCCTGCTTTGAGCCCAGGCCTCAAAGTAATCATCTGGGCAAGCAGCTCTTATGGATAAGGGGCCAATCATCTCAAGAATCTACGACACAAAGGGTAGACAAGGTTGCCTAGCCAAAAAGTCATGGACCCTGAGGAAGAAACAGGAGGCAGTATGTGGGCAAGTCAAACCACCACCCTGACCACTGTCTCCCCTTAGATCTTCATGGAGACAGTCCAGGACCCTAACCCTTATTAGAATGGCAATGCTTCCCACCCAGTGCCCTCAAGCGTCACCTCAGAAAGGAACCCATAGAGAGAGAATTCTGGGAAGATGACAGAGTAGGTCAGAAAATTTCAAGCTCTCCAGATTTCCCCCATAAATGAGATAAAACAGTGCCTCAGGGCAAACATACAGCTGGTAAAAATAAAAAACAGTAGGGGCAGAACAGTGATCCTGTTAGGACAATCAGAGAAGATCTAAAGAAAAATCCCTGGGGGGCAGAGCCAAGATGGCAGAGTAAAAGCAGGGACTTGCTTGAGCTCTCCCTTCAACCCCACCAAATACCTGTAAAAAATGGCTCTAAACAAATTCTAGAGCAGCTGAACCCACAAAAAGACAGACTGAAACAAATTTCCAACAAAGATAACCTAGATGGTTGATGGGAAAGGTCTGTTGTGCAGGGCTGGGAGAGGAGCACAGTTCCATGGCCAGCACTGGCAAACACCAGGCGTCAGCAAACCTGGAGCCGGCCTCAGGGGGATGGATCACTAGCAGCTGTAGTGGTTTCCAGACTTCTGAACCCACAAATGCCAAAGACAACTTAGCAAATCAGTAGGAAAGGTCTGTCAGACCTCAGGGAGAGAGGAGCTTGGTCCGGCCCCACTCCTTGCACGGCCCTGGGCAGCGGCTGCTTCAGGAGCTCTCGGCACACAGATGGTGGGAGGATTGAGCCGCTGATAAGAAGGGAATTGCAAGGCTCTCTTTGCTGGTGCTGAGGCAGGATTCTCTTGCTGGCCCATTCTTGGATCTGGATTGCAGTCCTGGGTGGTGGTTCTGAGGCGAGGAGGAGCGCTGGTTTTGTGGAGCTTGCGGCAGCAGAGGAGAGAAGGAATCCTCCTCACGGTTACAAGGCAGAAAAGGGTGCTTATAGTCACTCACAGATCACAGCACAGGCCAGGAAAGGAGTAAACACCTCACCTTTGATCATAACACCTTAGAAGAACTGAAAATTTACAGGTCCCTAGAAGTATCTGTGAAAATAGGTGCACAAAACTCCCAAAGCTTTGGACAGTACATCCTCTACACTAGAAGCAGACCCCTACCTTAACAAAGAGTTTAAAAGTCAAGTAATTGGCTGGGAAAATGAACAAACAGCAGGAAAAATAACTCAGATCATAGAATCTTTCTTTGGTGACAAAGAAGATCAAAACATACAACCAGAAGAAGACAACAAAGTCAAAGCTCCTATATCCAAAGCATCTAAGAAAAATTTGAATTGGTCCCAGATCATAGGAAAGCTCAAAAAGGATTTTGAGAAGTAAGAAAAGTAGAGGAAAAACTGGGAAGATAAATGAGAATGATGGAAGAAAATCATGAAAAAAGAGTCAACAGCTTGCTAAAGGAAACCCAAAAAAATACTGAAGAAAATAACACCTTAAAAAAATAGCATAGCCCAAATGGCAAAAGAGTTCCAAAAAGCCAATGAAGAGAAGAATGCCTTAAAATGTAGAACTGGACAAATGGAAAAGGAAATCCAAAAGCTCACTAAAGAAAATAATTCCTTAAAAATTAGAATGGAGCAAATGGAAGGTAATGATTTTATAAGAAATTATAAAACAAAGTCAAAAGAATGAAAAAATAGAAAACAATGTGAAATATCTCACCGGAAAAAAAAAACTGACCTGGAAAATAGATCCAGGAGAGATAATTTTAAAATTATTGGATTACCTGAAAGCCATGATCAAAAAACGAGCCTAGACAACATCTTTTAAGAAATTATCAAGGAAAACTGTCCTGATATTCTAGAACCAGAGGGTAAAATAGAAATGGAAAGAATCCACCAATCACATCCTGAAAGAGATCCCCAAAGGAAAACTCCTAGGAATAGTGTAGCCAAATTCCAGAGTTCCCAGGTCAAGGAAAAAATATTACAAGCAGCCAGAAAGAAACAATTCAAGTATTGTGGAAACGCAATCAGGATAACACAAGATTTAGCAGCTTCTACACTGAGGAACAGAAGGGCTTGGAATATAATATTCTGGAGGTCAAAGGAGACAGAATTACAATCAATAATCACCTACCCAGAAAAATTGAGTATAATCCTTCAGGGGAAAAAATGAACCTTCAGTGAAATACAGGACTTTCAAGCATCCTTGATGAAAAGACCAGAGCTGAATAGAAAATTTGACTTTCAAATACAAGACCCAAGAGAAGCATGAAAAGGTAAACAGGAAAGAGAAACCATAAGGGACTTATTAAAGTTGAACTGTTTATATTCCTACATGGAAAGATGATATTTGTAACTCATGAGACCTTTCTTAGTATAAGGGTAATTGGAGGGGATAATATATGTGTGTGTGTGTTTATGTATGTATGTTTGTGTATATGTGTGTGTGTGTGTGTGTATATGTATATGTGTGTATATATATGTGTGTATGTATAAATATACATATATACATATATAGACAGGGCACAGGGTGAGTTGAAGATGAAGGGATAATATCTTAAAAAATAAAATTAAGGGGTGAGAGAGGATTATACTGGGAGAAGGAGAAAGGGAGAGGTAGAATGGGGTAAATTATCTCACATAAAACAGACAAGAAAAAGCATTTACAGTGTAGGGGAAGTGGGGGAAGGTGAGAGGGAAGAAATGAATCTTACTCCCATTGGATTTGGCTTAAGGAATAACATACACTCATTTTCAATCTTACCCTTCAAAAAAATAGGGGTGAAAGGGATAAGAGAGAGGGAATAATAGAAGGGAGGACAGAGACTGGGGGAGGGGGTAATCAGAAGCAAACACTTCTGAGGAGGGACAGGGTCAAAAGAGAGAATAGAATCAACAGGGGGTGGAATAGAATCACGGGAAATATAGTTAGTTTTTCACAACATGACTATTATGGAAGTGTTTTTGCATGACTACACATGTCTAACTTGTATGAAGTTACTTGCCTTCTCAATGAAGGTGGGTGAGGAGGGAGGAAGGAAGAGAATCTGGCACCCAAAGTTTTAAAAACAAATGTTAAAAATTGTTTTTACATGCAACTGAGAAATAAGCTATACAGGCAATGGGGTATAGAAATCTATCCTGCCCTATAGGAAAACAGAAGGGGAAGGGAATAAGAGAGGGGGAGGGGACTGATACAAGGAAGAACAGATTGGGGGAAGGGATATTCAGAATAAATGCCGTCTTGGGGTAGAGGGAGGGGAGAGATGGGGAGAAAATTTGGAACTCAAAAT